TATTGAATTTTAGATTTTTTTTTATATTGTAATTTTGACATATTGGTACAAAGCACAAATGTACTAAAGGTTCTCTCAGTGCAGTGGACTACTGGAAGAGCCTCTCCACTAGTCGCTTTGTTCCCTTTTGCTCAGAAACGCCCCCCCTCCCTGTACCAGAATCACGCAAATACATAGACAATGAAACAAATAAATACATAAATACACATAAATTAATATATCATAAATACAAATAAATAGAAAAATAAATACTTAGAAAAGTAAAGAAACTGCTAAACCAATACAGTTATAGTCTAAGCTTTTGTACGGTTTCTTTTGCCGCAGTAGTTAACTTAAAGTTAATCCAAATCTTTTTTTTTCTCCACAAGTAACATGACAACAATTGAACAGTTTCCTCACAAGTTATTCTAAGTAACTGAACCACCACTTCATAATAAGTTGTCATATGAAAAAGACAAGCGCAAACAAAAGAACAGTGACAACTCAGATAGTACAGTAAAAAAAAAAAAAAAAAAAAAAAAAAAAAAAAAAAAAAAAAAAAAAAAAAAAAAAAAAAAAAAAAAAAAAAACAAAAAAAAAAAAAGAAGAAAAATTTGTCCAGTGATTCTAACAAGACCCAAAATTGTTTCTCTGGTTATTTAGCATAGAAATAGTCTGACCAGATTTCTGAGCCAACAATAAACAAATATTAAAGAACAGCAGCTCAATTCAACATCGAAGTATTTTTTTAAACAACACATAGAACAACAAACTTTGATATTTAAGATATGTGAATAATGTAGTATAGCACCTACTGTTGATCGCTAAAAGGAAGTTCTTTTCAATGTAAGTTCACAAATGCAGAGCGAAGAAAATGATAGAGATAATGTCGAGTATGTATTCTAAATGGATAATGTGTATATCTATTTACTGATATTCTGTATTGACTGATGACAAAATCAGAATAACATGTAGACAAAGGGTCTTCTTGCTTTGGGCTCTGGACTGTAAGGATGGTTAGGCCTCGGAAAGACCCCTCTCCCTTCCCTTTTGGGTATCGCTGTTGAATAATTACGCACTAGTACATATGTGAAAAATTACGAAAATCACTTGCCGCAGTTTGCGTCCTTTTTCACAAAACCTTCCTTCTACAAAATCACTGCCAACTTGGATTCCCCAAAAACAAACAACCTTGGATCCTATAAAGTACCACGGCAGAACGACAAGACAAGGTGGTGCCCCCTCCCTCCCGCCCCGGCCCCCCCAGTTAGCCAGTCAAAATATTTTTTTCTTTTTTCAAATCCAGATTCTTGTAAAAATTCTTCAATAATTATTTTAATTATCATTTATAAAAATAGATCTTCTCTTGTCTTTATTTTTATCTTTTTCTAAACGCATTATTTTTCCCAAGCAAAGAGATCTTCTCTTTGGCAACAGTGTTATTTTTTTTTTCTTAAATTACTGAACGTGTCATCAGGAAAGCTAACCCATCCCCTCCCTCGCCCCATCTTCCTGAAACCCTGTGAGGAAAGACATTGTTTTGTTTGCAATACAAAACAAAAGCAATGTTAGAAATTCTTTTTTTTTCTACATCAGAGTTACTGGGATTGTGCAATCCCATCAATAAGGGGAAGTTTTCAATACATGCTAAAAATGAATGAATGGTTCACCAATTTAAAAAAAGAGCCCCCTCCCTTTCAGGGAGGTATACCGTATATTATCGACAGTGGATCCGGATTTAAAAAGAAAAACAAATCCTGAATTAAGACAGAGAAAAGGTTTCAATTTAAAAAGGACTTTCTCTTCTCTGAAATAAGGGGATACAGGGATTTGCTACTGTTTACACAGAAGAGAAAAATCATTTCAACAACCACAACAAACAGAATATACAAGAAAGAGAAGCCTGCATTATCACAAGACCTCCAAAAACTCATGAACATTTTCAATTCATTTTTGTAATACTTAGGCAACATTGGCTTATAGGTCCAAAGTTATAATATAAGCCATTTCTAGTTCAATTTGTTTGATGGTTTGTTGGTTGCTTTGTGATCCGGTTGGGGCTGGAGTTTGCTGTGTTGGATGGCTGTAGAGTGGTAGTGACTGAAGGGGCTAAGGGATGGGTGGAGGTGGGGGGTTAGGGGGGAATATTTTGGAGCAGACAAAGTTGCGGAGCAACGGCTTCTACCTGTTCAAGTTTAGGACTTGTGTGTCTTGTTAGTCTTGAAGGAAACTTGCAACACGCGGTCACCCAACCTGTAGCCATTGAGACTGGCAATAGCCATGGCCGCCTCGTCGTAATTCGTCATGGTGACGAAACCAAAGCCTTTGCACTTGTTGGTGTTGAAGTCACGGATAACCTTGACATTGTTGACGGCACCAAATGGCCCAAACAGCTGCCAGAGCACGCTCTCATCAGAATCTGGGGACAGGTTGTACACAAAGATGCACCAACCAGTGCCTGTGTGCCCGGGGATGTTCATGCCAACCAGACTGGTCATGCTGTCAATGGTGATGGGGGAAAACCTGAGAGGAGGCAGAGTTGGGGGAAATGGAGGGAGACCAGACAGACAGGGAGAGAGAAAAGAGCAAGTTTTAATTGCACAGCTTAAGTCGTACAGTGAAACAGTGTATGCATCTGCTGTGCATGAGGTGGCCATAAACCGGTGGAAAATCTATCTTCATCTTGCTTTTACCTCATAAATATTCTTTTTTTGAGAGCAAAACTTTAAAAACTGAAACCTTCCTCCATGTCTAAAAGCTGACCTACATGATACATACAGTTCTATCCACAACCATTCTAAGTAACAAGCTTAAAGGCTCAATATTTGCACTTTACCAACCACAAAGACACTGATCTCCAAGCCAAATAAAGCTATTCTGATAAATCAGGATGCATAGTGTGTATATTATTGTCCAACTTCATGAGTCTGTATGTGAGTCTGCGTAGCTACCACTAAATCCTCTCTGAGCTCCTCAATTCTGAAAGGCCTCCTGTCAGGAGTGACGACACTGCTGTGTGCTGGGCTATATTTCTGCTGAAGGCGATGCAGACGAAAGTTCTCTTTATGTCTTTGAGAGGCTGCTTTAGGAGCTAAATTGCAGGAAGTTGTTGAATTAAACCCTTGCTAGAAATTCATCAAAGATCACACACCAGCCTGCTAAATCTGTTCTCATTTGCCTCATAATCTTCTCCTTTTTCTTGTGATGCAAGAGATTTGAATTCTCAGTTGACTTCACTTAATTGCCTTTCCGCTCAAAGAAAAGGGAAAAAAGAAAAAAATACCCGCACTTTTAAATAAAAGGTAAATGAAATAAAAAGGTTCATTTCTTATGCCACCTCTCTCTAAGAAACGACTATAGGCATTATTGGGTGTGCTTTAATTGAGATTTCCGCTTTGCTGCAGCTGTCTTAGAGTAGGCTGCTTTCCTAGGGAAGGGCAGGAAAGGAAAGAGGAACAAACTAAATGAAAAATGGAAGCATTTTAAAGCCCAGTGAGACTATGTACAAAGTGTGTTCCTCCAACTTCTCCCATCTACAGGGCATTTTGTTCTGGTCTATTCCAGGGCTCGTGGCACTGATCGATTGTGCTGCTTGAATGCACCCAGCAACCACTACGACCTTCCTGCATGACTTTGGTCACACAGAGTCTGCTTGTGGCCTTTGTGGTTACTGGTTAGCTTATTGATGGTAAGGGCTTTGTGCACTGATTTACCTTTCTTTTTGATTACTGCAGATAAGTGGATTATATTAGTATCTATCTGTATGATTAGGAAAGGATAAAAAGGTTATAGTATATTGTAAATGCAAAGGTAATTTTCTAATCAACACCAGGTCACTGCAACACAGGCCCTTAATCCTCTAATATCCTCTATCTGTTTAATATATGACCTACTGTACATATCTTTGTATTTGCATGCAAAAGATGGAGTGTAGTATGTGAGGAGAGATGTGTGAGTGTGGGGGTGACGGTTTGTAACACTGCCACTGTGAGGACATGGAGATGAGTGTGCCTCTGTGTATGTGTATAAATGTGTATGCGAGCGTACCCATCAGAGCGGGACCAAACACTAACCAATGTTACAGACGAGACCAGGGGTTGCATAGCAACAGCGTAGCTGACCAGATATCTATTCTGTCGCTTCTAAAGCCAACCATTTCCAGCTCTTAACACCTTTCTTCTCTTTCTTTTCATACAATAACCTCGGTTCAGTGAAAAGCACTTCTAACTTGATGACATGCTATGTAATCAGGGTGACTGATAATGACACTATTTTCACCTTTCGAAAATTATTAACACTCACAGTGGGGACTTAGTGGGTAGAGGAGGTTCTAAGGGTTAAACCTATCAATGCCACAATGCATTGCCATCAAGGTGTTATTCTGCAACTAGATTCTGAATTCCTGCATTCCACAAAATTACAGCTTTTTACAGGAACTTGCTCAGAGAACATTTTGCCCAAGATAAATCCTAGACTGTGTTGGAGTAGCTAGGCTAACTGATGGTGTCCCCTGTGATTGCAACATGCGGGATGGCACCGTCAGCACATGAAACATCTATCACCACAGTGGCTGCTGCTCTCGGTTATGTAACACCTACAGTAGCAAGAAAGCAAAATGAAACATGGAGGCAAACGGAAGGAATTTGAGCAGAGCAGTGCCAAAGCTGGATCTGTCTGCAGTGAAACAGCATTTCCTGTTTCCAGCAGGGATCCAGGTTCATCCAGCCTCATCCCGTCTCTGTTAAATGCTACCTAATCTCAGTTTTTATTGCCAAGAAATTAACAGTGTTTAATCTGCAGTGTAGATCTGAATATCTGTCACACAGATGAGTGTGCACATATAGTAGATTTTGTTTTAATGATGTACTAGTGAGGAAAACTGTATAAAATCAATGTGATAACTTAAAATGTTGCCTCTAAAAAGAGAGACACTTCTCAAGCTTTAGCTGTTGTGTGACAAGGCAGGAGAACCTGAATCCAGTAGAAAAAAAAACACACCTAGAAATTAATACTTTACACCAGAGAACAAAATCCATTCAGTACACAGAAACAATCCAAACACCAGCACTTTTTTTTTATAATCAAAACAAAGAAAATTCATCACCACTAAAAACAAAGACTGATTGTTTTCTGTTCTTTTTTTTTACACCTTAAGTGGTTGGTACAGTAGGGTTTTAAAACCAACTCAAGCTGACGAGAAAAAACTAAACAAATCAAAGAACCAAAAATGCAGTTGACCTTGAACGAACTGTCAAACGCAAAGTGACTGCAAAAATACAAGGAAACATAAATTAAAACATAACGGGGAAAAAAAGGGATATTGAAAAATCATTGAGTCAACATGGACATCTGGCATTGGGTGAAGTTTTTAATTACCTCTTTACGCCATAGGCCATATTAAGCAAATTGTCCAGCCTGTAAAGAGAAGGAGGGTTCTGGGGTTAATGGTGGGCAGATGGTCGACTCACTCAATGGAACTAATGTTAAGTCCCTGTAGGAACTGCATGGTCCTCCTCACTCAAGAACAAACAAACCCACCTATAGTCGGCCCATTACACTGAGGAGCCCCACCAGAAAATGCTATCATCAGATAATGAAGCTACAGTATCCTCAGTATGGTCAGCACCTGCTTGGGTGGCCACTGTTACCCTGCACTGGCTAATGCCAGCGTAGTGTGTTACAGGTGCACTGACTATACTGTAGATGTATACTGTAGACCGTCAGTACATGACTAGAGCAGTAGGCTTGTCACAGTTCAGTATTACAGTCATATACAGAGTGCTAAAGTTGGCAGGGCAGGAACACATTGCACTCAGCTATACTAGGATGATAGCATAGCCACAGTGCTAGGATCTTAGTGAAATATCTTTTCAGAAAATATGGTCTTTAATTTGAATGACAGGAAATGATCCAGAGTTCTGTCAGTGTAATGCTTTGGTATTTGAATGATGGTGAGTGAGTGAGGCAGTGATGATTAAGATGTTTTCTATGAGCTGGACCAACAAAAATCACAAATGAAGCATGAAATTGTGAATGTTTGTATTTGTGATTGAGGTCAACCTGTGAAAGGCCAACAGGTTAGGTGGAATGTTGTAGGTGGACTGTGCCCTCAGTTTAAGAAAAATTTTTTTGGAAAGGTTTCTGGTTTGATAATCATTTCAATCATTGCATTCAGCCAGAGTGAACTACAGTTTGTGAGTGTGTGGCTTAAGAACCCAGCAGACTGTTTGGCCTTGTTTTCTATACTTGTGAGGAGCGAAACCCGGGAGCACACTAGCTTAGCGGGACTGGCGTCACTTCTAGGGACCAGTCAGTGTAGTTTGTTGAATTATATGGAAACAACATGATGTAAAATCAGATTTAAGTGTTTGCTTTGGTTAAGGATAGGTTAGGTTTAGTCTTCCAAAAATCTAAGTCTATATAGGAACCTGGTAAATGCCAAAAACAAGAATGTGTGTTTGTGAGTCAGGCTACAGAATCTGTGGGGTGTATGAAATGTTGGTCCTTTTGGATGGATGCACTCTGCTCAGTGACTCAATGACCTTCATTTCTCACTTGGGTCTGGCCTGTCTCATGTCTTATTAACTCCTCTGGCCTAATGGACATGGGCCACGGCTTACTGAGCAACAGCTGGCCAGCGATGCCTCGTTCCTCTTGAAAACACTACAAACTCTCTGACTTTGACTTGACTATCAGGATGGTTGTCCTTGTCCTTTTCTGTCAACAAGCCTTTGCTTTCCTGGAACACAACAGCTACACAGTGTTTACCCAAAACTCCCAGAGAACACTGAAATCTTACTGGAGAAAGTTTCTGTTTTTGGTACAGAATACCCTAAGTATCTATACTGCTATTATCACCATCTCACTTGATACTGTATGTACACAACTTTATTTGATTAGGAATAAGAAAGCAATTAGGTTTTGAAGCCTTAAATAATTTGCATAGTACTTGTAATACTGTTTATATTAACCACTTTAAATTGAATTTAGAAATTTGCATGTTGAAGATAACAGATCAGTAGTCTTCTAATCAGGGACAATTTAACACTGGGATGCCAGTAATTGTAGTTAAGTACCTTATAAATTAGAAATCCTGCAGTGTTTTTGAATAGTGCTTTAACACTGGTTCACACCAAATTTGACTTCACATCAAATGGTATTATTTAAAATTTAAATGATTGAAACATTTAAAAGTTTAAAATCTGCAAATATATTGTGAGAACATATAACTGAAATCCCCACATTAACATCAGCTGACTTAATTTCCATAACCTTTTCATATAAACTTCTCAGAGCTTCATATAGAGCTTCTTATTACTTGGGTTCAAAGTGTGACGACATTGTAGCCATTTTCTCTCCTAACATTAGCAAAAAGCACAAAAGCAGCCCTAAAACAAAGAAAAAGTATAGAAACGGGTATGTGGAATCATTAAAGCAGTAATTAGCCCATTATGTGGGAAGGGAACAAGCAAACTGCTTTGTGGGTAAATGAGTCAATTGGAGAGGATGCTCAGAGGAGAGGCGCTCTAGGCTCAGGAGCACGAAGACATCTGCTGGCCACAGGGCCACTGGGCCACAACAAAACAACCTGCTGCTCACACACTCACTAAATGTGCACATGCACGCTCACCACACAAACACACAGCTTTTCACACGGCCTCTTCAAGCTGCATATAAACAATAGGGCTTTTGTGCTTTCTGTCAATGCACATTAATGGAGGAATGGGCGTTTTTGTCTTTCCCTTTTTCCAAACAAAAATCTGTTCAATTAAAATGGCTCCTGCCTTGGATATAATAAAGCTAATTTGCTAATTAGTAACATTAGTTTACGACAAAAAATCTGAAACGAGCAGGGATCTAGAGCTCGGTGTATTGTGCTCAAGTCAATTATGTTTGCTGTCTTGGAAAGGGACCATACAAGCACATTATACATTCACTTCTATTACAGCAGGCCCACATGATTTAGAATCACAGGATGGATGCACTGTAATTATAACCGAGGTCGGTTTGTATTATGCCAAGTCTGTTTTTTTTGTTTTGTTTTTTTTACTTGGGTTTTACTTTATGTGCAGCTACAAAGTATCAGTTTAACTTTAGCTAGAAAATTTTGTTTTCAGTGCTAATTGACTTTAAAGTTAGTGCATCATTAATTCAGTTTACTAAATGTTTACAACACTCACTATTAATATATTTTAGCTTTAACTTTAATTTCACTTCATCAAGGAGTTAACAATAGAACAGGGTTGATGTGAATAGTCTGTTATATCAGGAAAAAGAAAATGCCCTCTTACACTGTTGTCCTTAAAATATAGATTTTTAAAAAAGGGAAACTGTGCACATAGAGCACATTTATAACTTCTGAAGGGTTGAGGTTTTAGTGGAGGGCTTGGGAGCAGAGAGCAGGAGCACAGGGACACACAGTGAGGAAGTGTCCTGTGGTTGTGAGTTGTGATGAGAAGCGACAGCTCTCCTGCAGAGCCTGTAAATTGGCTTGGCGTATCACAGACACACAGCCATGCTACATCGCTCAGGTGTCACACCAGGGAAGCCGCTCCAGAAGAAAAATGCCTTCCAAACACTGACTTTGATGGAGAGTAAACAGTACGATCCGCTTAGTGTTACTGAAAAAGAGAGGAAACTGTATAAGCAGTGCACATTCTGTCTCTGACTCAGAAACATTTTTGTTGGCTTGAATGATAGAATATAATCATCTGTTTCTGTTGTGGTTTTGTGGTTTTAAAAGGTACCCTGACCTCACAGAGTTAGTCCTAACCATCTCTATTGTTCCGTAAATGTTCATGGAAAACATGATAAAGGATTGTTTGTGTCGTTAGGGGGTGACGGGAGATATATGTATATGTGTATATATGTATATGTATATGTATATGTGTATGTATGTGTATGTGTATGTGTGAAGTTGTGGCTTGATGTAAAGCTTACTGACCTGGGCATGAAACATAATTACAGATCACAGTACAGTATAAGGTGCTACTTAATTATGGCATTATTTGCTTTAATTTGGATTCAAAATATTAGTCTTAAGTAATTTCAGATTTTAATGCAGTAAATTATCTTAAGTCAGGTAAATGTATATTTGCAGCAGCATGGCAATGTATTTAAAGCCATTCAAACTACGTTGTGATTGGTTGTATAAATATGACCATATCATGGAGCATTAGGGCTTTAAAGTCAGAAAGACAAAGAATGCAAATTAAACAATGTGCTTCTTTTTTGTTTTTTGATAAATATTTATATCCAAATACATGTTTTTGCCCAGGCCTCACAGGGGATATTCTGGGAAGTGTTGGCATGATGGCAGCATGATGAAATGAGGGGAAATGTGTAGTGTGAACGACAGAACCCCACAGTCTCTTATGAACAGTTCCTCTCTGATCTGGGCGAACCCACACAGAGCACTCACAGGGCCTGGTTTACTGACATCTGCACCAGGTGCACAGCTCACACCTGCTGTTCAAACAAGGGACGTATTTATCAAAAATGAATGTTCACAGGAGAAATGTTCTATCATTGCTGATACAAATACATTGCTGAGACACATGCTCTCTAAGTGGAGGCGTTACCTTCCTTGTTTGAACACTGTAAATTGCATTTGGTGCAAATGTTTCCTAAATCAGGCCTGTTGCTTAGAACAGATGTGTTTCCTTGATTAAATGCATTTATCGTCACGTTTACCAAAAATAACTGCTGTTAAATTAGACTGATGACTCGTATCTGTATTTTTGTCTCTTGTACAATAAGTCTTTCAAAAGAAATGGCATTCAAGTTTACTTAATGATATACAGTAGTAATAAGAACATGATTTTATGGCATCACATTTTTCAGACGTCAATTGTTATCAGTCATACCACTTTAGATGACGTACTTGATTCAGATTTCATAAAAACATATGTAAACTACTGATGTTTGTAGAGTTTGCTAGTAAATACATATTACTTGCTTTCTATTATCCTTAACACATTAAGCTGAAGATTCCCATCCTTCTGGGCAGATGTCTCTACCCCATTGTTATATTACCATGTCTAGGGCACTTTGTGTTTGAGTTTGTTTCATCATAACTGAGCTGAGAGGTAGGAGGAGCCACTGGTTCTGGTTCCTATGTCCATATACGCCTTTGAAGGGCACCAATTGTGAGTCACCTAAGATTTTCTGTGGAGAAAACGAATGGGACGTGCACTATATTTCTAGAGCCAACTGCACCTGAAATGGCTCCTCCCACTCCACAGCCTTATGACAG